CCTGATAGCTCATTTCTTTTTAATACTGAATAATATTCCATTGTCTTGGCTTTACCACAATTTATCTATTCACCTACCAAAGGACATTTTGGTTGCTCCCAAGTTTTGGCAATTACTTTGAACATGTATGTGCAAGTTTTTGTGTGGACGTTAAGTTTTCAACTTCTTTGGATAAATACCAAGGAGTGTGATTGCTGAACCAGATACTAAGAGTATGCTTAGTTTTGTAAGAAACCACCAAATTGACTTCCAAAGTGGCTGTACCATTTTGCATTCCCACCAGCAATAAATGAGCGTCTTTGCCATTCCACATTTTTGCCAGCATTTGGTGGTGTCAATGTTCTGGATTTTGGCTATTCTAATAGGTATATAGTGTGGTATCTCATTGTTGTTTTAATTTGCATTTTTCAGATGACATGTGGAACACTTTTTCATGTGCTTATTTGCCATATATCTATTTCTTTTTTGAGGTGTCTGTTAAGGTCTTTGGCCCATTTTTTAAATTAGCTTGTTTTCTTATTGTTGAGTTTTAAGGGTTCTTTGTGTATTTTGAGTAACAGTGTTTTATATATCTTTTACAAATATTTTCTCCTGGCTTATGGCTTGTAATTTAATTCTTATGACAGTGTCTTTTACAGAGCAGAATATTTTGCATTTAGTTCTGTGATCCATTTTGAGTTAATGTTAGCAAGAAGTGTATTGTTGGATTAGATTTTTTTGCATGTGGATGTCCAGTTTTTCTAGCACCATTTGTTGAAAAGACTGTCTTGTAAGTTTTGAAGCCGAGTAGTGCTAGTCTTCTGATTTTGTTCTTCTCCTTCAATATAACATTGGCTATTCTGGGTCTTTTGCTTCTCTGTATGAACTTTAGACTCGGTTTGTCAATTTTCACAAAATTAACTTGCTGAGATATTTTTGTAGTTGCATTAAATTTATAGATCAAGTTGGGAAGGACTGACATTTTGGCAGTTTCGAGTCTTCCTATCCATGGACATGGAATATCTCTCCATTTATTTAGTTGTTCTTTGATTTCTTTCATTGGAGTTGTATAGTTCCCCTTGTATATATCTTGTACATATTTTCTTAGATTTATACATAAGTCTTTCATTTTGGAGGTGTTATTATGAATGATACTGCTTTTCATTTCAAATTCCACTTGTTCATTGCTGGTGTATATGAAAGCAGTTGACTTGTATGTTAACCTTATATCCTGCAACCTTGCTGTAATTAAGCTTATTAGCTCTAGGACTTTTTGGCTCGATTCTTTTATATTTTCTACATATGCAATAATGTCATCTGTGAAAAAAGACAAGTTTTATATCTTATTTTCCAATCTTTATACTTTTTATTTCATTTTCTTGTCTTACTGCTTTATCTAGGATTTCTAATTCAGTATTGAAAAGCAGTAGTGAGAAGGAATATCCTTGCCTTGTTCCTGATTTTAAAGGGAAAGCTACTAACTTCTGATCATTGAAGTATGGTATTAGCTGTAGAATTTTTATGGATACTTTTTAATCAATTTGAGGAAGTTCACCTCTCCCTTGTTTACTGAGGTTTTTTTTTTTTGATTTTGAGGGTTCTTTATATATTTTAGATACTATATATGGTTTGGAAATATTTTCTCCCAGTAAATTATATAGTTTTACATTGAAGTCTATGATCCATTTTGAGTTATTTTTTTTATTTTATTTTATTTTTTTTGAGTTAGAATCTCACTTTGTCGCCCAGACGGAATGCAGTGGCATGCTCCTGGCCACTGCAGCCTCAACCTGCTGGGCTCCAGCGATCCTTCTGCCTCAGCCTTCCAAGTAGCTGGAACTACAGGCGTGCGCTACCACACCTGGCTATTTTTATTTTTATTTTTTTATTGTAGAGATGAGGTCTTGCCAAGTTGCCCAGGCGGGTCTCAAACCCACGGGATTACAGGCTGAGCCACCGAGCTTGGCCTGAGTTAATTTTTATATAAGGTGTGAGACTTAGGTCAGAGTTCATCTTTTTGCCTGGGAATGTCTACTTTCTCTGTTGCCATTTGTTGATAAAATTATTATTCCTTTAATTGCTTTTTTATCTTTGTCAAAAATCAGTTCAGCATATTTGTATGGGTCTATTTCTGGGTTCTTTATTCTGTTTCATTGATTTATGTGTCTACCCTTGCTCCAATGCTGCTTGATTTCTGTAGCTATTTACATAATAAGTCTTAAAAGTGGGTAAGGTGATTCCTCCTTTATTCTTATTATCCAAAATTGTTTCAACTAATGAATAATATTCCATTTGCCATTCCGTATACACTTCAGAATTATCTTGGTTTATTCACAAAATGTCTTGCTGGGATTTGGATAAGAAAATTATATTAAACCTGTGTATCAATTTTAGGAGACTTGACATCTTCATTGAGTCTTTGGTCTCTATATGTATTTAGATCTTTGATTCTTTTAATCAGCATTTTCTAGTTTTTAACTTATAAGTTCTATACATGTTCTGTAGGTATACACCTAAATATTTGATTATTTGTGAACGATTGTGAATAGTATTGTATTTTTCACTTAGGAGTCCACATATTCATTTCTAGTGTTTGGAAATGATTTATTTTTATATTTTTATCTTATGGTCTGTGACTTTGCTGAGATCATTTATTAGCTGTGGGAGGTTTTTAAAATAGATTTCTTGGCTTTTTATGTGGATACCATCCTTTGTTATCTGGAAATAGAGATAGTTTTATTTTTTTCTGAGCTGTGTGCCTGTTATTATCTTTTCTTGCTGTACTTTAGTGGCTAGAACTTTCAGCATTATGTTGAATAAAAGTGGTGAGAACAGGCATCTTTGTCTTGTTCCTAACCATAGAGGGAAAGCACCATTTGTCTGGTTGTATAGTGTTGGAGCTGACTGCTACTTCTTGCAGCAGAGGCATTTGCCTTCCTGCAAATGACTGCAACGACAGTTGTGTGACAGCCACTTGCTGTAAGTAAAGTGTGAGAAGTTTTCTGAGAAAAAGAAAAAAGCAAGCTTTGAGAGTAAGTGTACAGATAGCTCATCTTATAGTTTCCACTGCATGGATAGGATTGTTGCCAGAATCCTGTTGGCCTCGTTTTAGATATGTTGAGGTTGTTGGCAGCAGGCATTTTGTCCATTTAGTATTAGATGCTAAGGTAATTTTTTTTTTTTTAAATAAGCATGAGGTCTCGCTTTGTGTCCCAGCCTGGTCTCAGACTCCTGGGCTCAAGCAGTCTTCTTACCTTGGCCTCCCAGAGTGTTGGGATTATAGGCCTGAGCCACTGCACCTGGCTTTTTTTTCCCTGAGGTAATTTTTGTAAAAGGTAATCTGGAATAACATACCTTAAATATTAACCGTAGACAGAAAACGTCTTTTTTTCTTTGAGAATGGTCTCTACAAAAATGAATTAGAGCATATTATGAATTTTTTTCACAAACTCTTCCTTTAATGCCCATTGATTGAATGGATGTAGGCCATATAGGAAAACACACGCTATTTCCAAATACTGAATATATTGGACTAAATCTAGGCCAAAAGCTGCCTAGATTATATTGTGCTTGACCGGCTTTGTATTATGGCAGCCTTCTTGGAGTAGGGACATTGACCTCTAGGGACTGCTATTGAGCAAATACATTGTTAACAGCAGATTCTTTTATGTGCAAAGAGCCTGCAATACACTTCTGCCTCTGTACATGTGTTCTAGTTGCTAATGGGAGAAACCTTTATTTCTTCATGTGCTTTGGCCAGGGAGTCTTAAGGAACGTTACTTGCCTACCATCAAAGGTTCAGGGATTATACTCTGGGTCCGATAAAGTTGTCTGCTTTTGAACCTTCCAAATTATATGGCCTTAGTAAAGTGATTGTCTTCTGTGCTCAGAATATTTCTAGTGGGAGTTTTATACCTCTCTAATTTAAAAATAAAAACATTGTGTTGCCTTTGCTTTTATTGGTAAGAACAATAAAAGAGGTGCATGTTAAAACAATCATACACAATTCTATTGGTTAACAGTGGATTAACATTTTGAAGCCTGTTGCTTCTAAGCTGTTTTCTTTAGACCTAGGTTTAGTCTGTGCATTCTGTGTTGTAACCTTTTTGTTTCATCCTGAACATCTTTATGTGTTATATAATTATCTGCATTATCTTTAACAGTTGTGTAGTATTCCATTTTAAACTAATCTTATTTTGGACATTTGGTCTTTTCCACATTTTTTTTTACTATTATACATGGTCTTGCAGTATGAATTATTGTTAAATATTTGTGTACATTCTTACGATTTCCTTTGAGTAAATTTCTAGAAGTGGAACTAAGTTTTCTAGAAAACTGCAGGGCTATGGTGAGTTTTTCCATCCTAAGGTGTATTCTAAATATTGTAAATTTTTGTTTTCAATTGAGAGTTTGAGGCCAGACACTGTGGCTCACGCCTGTAACTTTGGGAAGCCAAGGCAGAGGTTTGTTTGAGCCCAGGAGTTCAAGACCAGCCTGGGCAGCTTAGTGAGGCCACGTTACTACCAAAAATCAAAAAAATGACCTGGGTATTGTTGGCGCATGACTGTAGTTCAAGCTACTTGGAAGCTGAGGCAGAAGGATCGCCTGAGCCCAGAAGGGCGAGGCTGCAGTGAGCCGTGATCATGCCATGCCACTGCACTCCAGTTTGGGCAACAGAGTGAGACCTTGACTCGTTTTTTTAAAAAATAGCTTGAGATGTTTATGAAGGAAAGCATTTTCATTTGGGCTTGATTTGATTTCAAGCTTGTGCAACAACGGGATGTGGGCCAATTTGATCTGGAGATTTTTTTTTTTCTTTTACTGTATCATCAGTTGACAGAGGAGGAAAGATTCTTTACCCCACTCCACCTCATAGCTGTGCTTCTGAGTTGGCATCGTTATCCCAGTGGTTCTCCTTTAAGTCTTTTGCATGCTCTTCATTGTGTATTGTCTATGTCCAAGCTTGTATAGGTCAAGATTGCAACTTTAAGTTCTCACTTTTTTTGGGATTTTGTTTTCAGATCATAAAGCAGAAAATCGAAAACATGAAAGTAGACAGGACTAAACTGAAAAAGACACCCACTGAGGCTGTAAGTATCCAAAAGTTTGCTTTGCCTATCTTTTTTTTATTTCATCAGTTCATACATACTGATTTTCCAAGTCTCATCAACTCATATATACAAAGTATAGTAAAACAGCAACTTGTCTTGAAACAGTGTAATTTTCTTTTGAACTTCCCTTAATTAAGAATGGATAGACAAGAAACCAGTGGAAAGTGAGCACTGAACTCTTTATGGCTGTGTGTACCTGAGGTTGGCTCTTAGGCTGCTATTCCTATGCATTGAAATTCAGTATAGAATAATGGAAAGAGCAGTTGTGGATTCAAATTTTTACTGTAACTGTGAGATCTTTCAATTCTGTTTTTCCAAAAATGAAATTGGTGAAATCTTTACTAGTTTTCTTGTAAGCCAGTGTTTGAACTTCTTTTTACTATTGATTCTTACTCAGATAATTCAGTTTAACTTATGTATTGGTGACCATGTCAATTGATCCTGTGTTAACACTAGAAATCTCAGCTTCAGTCCACTTTTCCATCTGCTAGTTTGAACTGTGTTCTGAGGTTAAGGAAGTGATGTATTATGATACTCCTAGAGACCCCATGATCTTAGTTCAAAGAACACAAGCTTTGGAAGTAGATCTGGGCTTGAATCTTAGTAGATTTCTGTGACTGAGAGTTTATTAACTTGCCTGGTTTCTCTATAGCTACAAAATGGGATTGAAAATTTCTTCCTTCTTAATGTGAGGCAGTTGCTTAGCATAGTATCTGTTGCATAATAAATTATATTCATATTTTAAATATAGTTGATACTTATAGTAGTTCATACTATAAATACAGGCCACTTGGTTTTTAAAAAATAAATAGCTACCTAGGAAGTATCCCTAGGAAGGGATAACCATTATGAACATTTTGATATATTTCGTCCACTCTTTAAAAAAATTACTGAATGTGCACACATAGTTATCCTACCCTTTTCACTTAGCATTGTATGAATGAGTATGAAAAGCACTTTCTTCTCATAACCTCACCAGCATTGCATACTATCTTTTACATTTTTGTTAATTTGAGTGGGAAAGAAAATATTTCACTGTTTGAATTTGCATTGCTCCAGGACCTATATTTTTCAAGTTTATTAGTCTTATATCAGTTATCTTCTTGTGCTGTTTATTTTGTATTTGACATTGGAATGTCAGTGTTTTTCTTACTGAATGCCATATATGGTAAGTATACTCATTTTCATATCTGTTGCAGATACTTTCATTTGCTTTTTTTTATAATCAATAATCAATATTTTTTATTATGGTTTTGTGGGGTACAGTTAAGGGTTAGGTATACAAATAGGTTTCATTCAGGCACCCTGTTGATAAGAGGTGTTTCCCCGTCCCCAGACAGATATTTGCTACTGCTAAGCCCACCTCCCCCTCCCCATAGTTTCCCACTACTGTCAGTCATTTTCTTATACTATTACATTGGATGTTAAAGGTCCATTATATGAGTGAGAACATGTGATACTCGGATCTTTGTTTCTGTGAGAGGTTTCATTTGCTTTTGATTTTGTTTTTGATGTGTTCTGGCATCTAGAAGTTTTCATTACTGTGTATTCAAATATCTTTGGAAACTGAAGAGCAAAAAGAAAACTTGCCTTAAGAAACTACGATTTAAAAGTTAAAACAGTGGCATCAGTATAAGAATCCACTGATAAAGAGAATAGGAAACCTAGAAAAAGGATCCTAGTGTGCCTAAGAACTTGACATATGATAATAGAGGGATTATAAATTGGTGAGGAAGGACAGTATTAGTTAAGAAACTGTGCCAGGATAATTGTTAGATTTGTAGAAGGTGGGTACAATAAATTTTAGAAAACCCAAAAGCCATATATTCTTAAATTATATAAGTAGGACATATAGGTGAATGTTACCTGGTCTTGAGTGGGGTGGTTTTTCCAGGCATTAAAACAAAGGGGGAAAAATCATAATAGAAATGTAAAATTCTGTATCCAAAAGAAAAAAACATATGACAGTAGCAATCTTAACAGTTATGAGGTAATATCTTACTGTGGTTTTGATGTGCATTTCTTTGATTGGTGATACTGAGCAATTTTTATATACCTGTTGACTATTTAGATGTCTTCTTTGGATAAATGTCTATTTAAGTTCTTTGCCCATTTTTTAATTGGGTTATTTGGTTCTTTTGCTATTGACATGTAGGCGTTCCTTATATATTTTGGATATTAATCTTTAGAAGGCTTTATGCAAAGTGAAGTAAGTCAATCACAGAGGGGCAAATACTACACAATTCCTCTTATGAAGCATCCAAAATAGTCAAAGGTATAGACGTAGGTATTAGAATAGTAGTTACCAGGAAATGGGGGGAGGGAGATGGGGTTGTTGTTCAGTGGGTATAAAGTTATATAAGATGAGTAAGTTCCAGAGATCTGATGTAGAACATAATGATTTTCGTTAACAAAAAGATATCGGGTACACTGTGCCCTCCATATCTGCGGTTTTCACATTTGTGGATTCAAGCAACTGTGGGTAGGAAAATATTCAGAGAGAAAAACAATTAAAAATAACAATTTTTAAAATACAGGTTTAAAAACAATGTAGCAAATAACTTTACAAAGCATTTGCATTGTATTCAGTATTATAAAAAAATCTACAGGTGACTTAAAGTCTGGGAGAATGTGTATATGTTCTATACAAATACTATGCCATTTTGCACAAGGCACTTGAGCATTGCAAATTTTGGTATTTATTAGAGGTCCTGGAACCAATCCCCAGCAGATACCAAGGGATAAGTATACTTTAGTTATCATGTTAAGTGTTCTTACCACACACACGAGCATGCAGACACACACAAAGAGACACAAGGAAACTTGGAGGTGATGGATATGTTTATTACCTAGATTGTGGTGGTGGCAACATGAGTATATACTTACATATAAACTCACCCGGTTGTATAAATTAATTATGTACAGTTTTTTGTATCCCATTTATACCTCAGTAAAGCTTGGGCAGAGAGGGAAAGGAAAGCACATGACAAATTGGGAAAAATATTTGTAACCCAGTATACAGTTAATATCTTTAATAGCTGAATCAGGGGAAATGAATATCTCAATGACAATGGGCATAGACATTTCAGAAAAGAACAAACCCAATAAACGACTTTATAGGTAATCAGAGAAATGATAATTATCACTATTATTATATTTTTTTACCTAGTGACTTGTAAGGGATTTGCCCTTGGAATCACATATATATATACATTTCTGGCTCATCTTTCCTAGTTTACTAGCAAATTACTTAGGATAAATTCTGAGAAGTGGAATTTTTAGGTCATTGAGATAGTTTTGCCTATTTTCCTTGAGCAGTGTACTAGAGTGCCCAATTTCCCATACTGTGGTCAATATTAGGTGTTATTTTTAAGAAAGGCTTTTATTGATCACTTTGTGTATCCTCAGCTGTGCAAAGGATGTTTTCCCTGGATTTGATATCTATTAGAACAAATCAATATAAACCCTGGCATTTGGTATGCACCTATTGAATTGGCAAGTGCTTTCTTATACATTACCATGAGTAAAGAAAATCACTTTTGTGCATTTATGTAGCAGGGATAAGACAGTAAAAATAGACTTTTGTGCTTACTGCAGTCTAAAAAAACAGAAAACATTGTGCTGGTACATTAAATTGATGCCATTATGCTAACTGGATCTTGTGAGCAACACAACACCTTAGATGCTTCAGATGTATTTGTGCCAGAGAGCCTGCCACATCAGGAAAGTTTCTAGGGATCCTAAGGTCTGCCAAATGTTGGGATATCCCTTTAAAAGTGAGAGGCAAGTTGCTGTACCTGTGTCTTGTGCCACATACCATGAAGTGTGGTGTACCTCTTGGATTTCAGAACCAACATATGTCACATTTGGGCATACTGTTTTGACCTGTTTACTGGTAAATCTTTAAAGCATTTAGTAAGCAACCACTAAAGTGAGGTTTGGATCTAGAAAAGACTGCAAAAGGGCCAGGCTCTGATGGAAATTGATCTACCACTTGGACATCATGACTTAATAGACCCAGGTAACTGACTTAGGTGTCAGCTAAAGATGCCATGTGGTGCCTTCAGCAAGCCTCAATAGGAGAATCACAGCTAAGACACCTAGAGTTTTGGCCATGCTATCCTCTGCATTCGCCAAAGCAGATTCTGGCTTGTGACTGGACCTTGGTAAAGACTGAATGCCTGGCAGTGGGACATTCTAAGTTATTACAGGACCTAAATATTCGTCATGAACTAGGTGTTATCTAAAATTGGATTTGTATAGCTGTATTCCATTAGAAATTGAAGTGGTGTATTTGATACTGGGCCAAGTAGTCCAGAAGGCCCAAGTGAACTGCATGAGCAGGTGGTTTAAATTCCTCGTCTCTTTTGTGTCAAAGATTTTACATACATTGAATTACCACAAAAATTTGAGGTAGTTCTTAATACTTACTTGAGAGAAAGAAAAGGTTTGGGGCTCAGCTTAAAGAAACCCATCTACCTTTTTTAAAGCCCCTCTCATGTTCCATGTTCTGTTTTGGATGCCAAAAATGCCTTTCCCATAGTTTAACTCACGGCAGCATTGCTGGGTATATAGGGGGTGTTGGTTAATTTTACGGAAGAGGATGCTGAGATTCAAAGAGGTAGCTTCCCAGTTACCTGATTCCAAAGCCCATGCTCTTTGCAGTAGTATGCTGCCTCTCAATATTTAAGCTCCTATTAAATAAGTATTTTATGTATATGGCAGACATTGCTTCATATCTCCAAGGTATCAGGTGTGTTTTTCTGGTAAGGAAACTGTAGCTGAGAGCTTAGACTTGCTCATGATCAAACAACTTAGTAAACATAAAGCTAAAAAGTGAACCCAGATTTGCTTGGTTCTAGATCTGGGCCTGTCCCCAGTACACCATACTGCCTTTACAGAGTTAAAGAACAAGTGTAATCTCTTCTCCCGGCTGCCATCCATTAATAGGAGGTTTCTCTCCCACAGCCTCTATCCCTTTGCCCCTTTCCACTTTTGGAAACTTTATAATAAATGCCCAATCCACTCCTTGTTTTCTGACAAGTAGGTTCTTTCGTCAGTACAGGAAAGCAAGAATGTATGGAAATGGGAACCATACGTAAGAATGGAGTTTTAGTTTTACAAAGTTCAGAAGCTCTTTGCCCTTCTAAAATTGAAGGGTTTAATGTTGCAGAAAAATATAGTCAATGTTGGTCTTTACCTTTAGCTGTGAATTCACTAGGGTTTTTCAGTGTTTCTGTGACTCAACATACCTTATCAGGCATTCTGGTTAACTTTCAGACCATAGTAACAGATTCTTTAATTTTGCTTTTATTTTTGTGTTTAGCTTGTTTTCTTTATTTCTGTCAACTGAACCCTTCGAAGTAGTTTGCACCTACCGGTTTATCCAAGTTTTAAACAAAAAGCGCAGGTGGCTTGTTGGGGAATAAAAATGTTTTCTCATGAAGTTTCTCATTTTAATCTCAGTTGATTGTCTGGCAAATTGCCAGTTTTCTTAAGCACTGTATTCTAGCAAAAGATACATTACTGTGTGGGCTTAAGGGTTGCGGTTACTTTACCCATTCTCTTTGCATTGCCCTCATTCCAAATCACCTTTTGCGAATACTTTTTTTCTCAGCCTGCAGACTGCAGAGCCTTAATAGACAAACTCAAAGTTTGTAATGATGAGCAACTCCTCTTGGAACTGCAGCAGATCAAAACATGGAACATTGGAAAGGTATGTGAAACCATACTTCCAAAAGATAGGACTCACTGTACTAGTATCTCATTTTGTATGTTCTAATATGGAAAGAGAAACCACAGTGGGTAGTACAAGGGAAATCTTGCTAACTGAGGATGAGGAATACTTGCCCAGGCTTTGCAAAAGAATCTCAACCACAGAATTCCTTTAGTTTGACTGACAATATATGGTTGAAATAGTCTCCTGATTTTTACTTTTAAAGAATTTTCACTTGATAAATTTAAAAGTAAACTCTTCTGATAAAATGGCTTCTAATAGAGGCAGTCTTTGTCTTTGTAGATCAGGATATAGCTAGAATTCTCCCTCTGAAGACCTAGCTCTAGGAGTTTTGTCGTGTCAACTGGTGTTAGCACATATATCTTGATGAGTATAACAGTGAACTTCAGCCCATTTAGATCATAGTATAATCTTACTTACATGGGCGAAGGTGGGATGTAAACTTGTCTAGGTGTCATCCTCAGCAATCTCTTGTAACAAAGCTCAGTTAAAAGCCCCTATATAGTGCCTCTAATCTTATTCTTATATCCTCTTTCTCCTCCCCTTTCCAGTGCGAGTTGTATCACTGGGTGGACCTGTTGGACCGCTTCGATGGAATTCTGGCAGATGCTGGACAAACAGTGGAGAATATGTCTTGGATGCTTGTATGTGATAGACCAGAAAGAGAGCAACTGAAAATGCTTCTCTTGGCAGTGTTGAACTTCACGGCCTTGCTCATAGAGTACAGCTTTTCCCGGCATCTGTACAGCTCCATAGAGGTAGGAGAGGTTAAAACCTATGTGATCTGTTCTTCATTCGAATTGTATAAATCCAGAAACAAGGAAATTGCTATTTCTCTCTGATTGCTTCTTTCCTTTTCATTATGGAGTTCTGGGTTTTTCAGTGTCCAAGACGATAAAGAATGGTAGGATATTTCTTGGATATAGATATTACCCTTCCTTCATAGGGTTGATGGGAAGGTTCTGTACTATCACCTTTGCCCTACCTTTTCAAGATACAATAAATGAACGATAAGTGTAATACATGTATTAAAGTACTATATTCTAGGGAGTTTGCAGAAATTGATTTTTATCCCAGGTTATTAGAGCAACCCCAGATTACTTTTAAATTGTTAGAAATAGTTTAATTTAGCCGGGCTTGGTGGCTCAGCCTGTAATCCCGCGCCTTGGGAGGCTGAGGTGAGTGGACTGCCTGAGCCCGCGGGTTAGAGACCTGCCTGGGCAACTTGGTGAGATCTCATCTCTACAATAAATCAAAAAAATTAGCCGGGTATGGTAGTACACGCCTGTAGTTCCAGCTACTTGGAAGGCTGAGGCGGAAGAATCGCCGGAGCCCAGCAGGTTGAGGCTGTGGTGGCTGGGAGCAGCCACTGCACTCCAGTCTGGGCGACAAAGTGAGACTCCAACTCAAAAAAAAAAAAAATAGTTTGATTTTCATATAACATTAATGTACTTACTACTTTTCTAGATTTTAGTGTGCTGCTTTTCAATCTCTTCTCCACTTTCCCACACCCTCACTAAAATATGTATTCATAGCATCCTCTGTCCTCAAAGAGTAAAGTGGGTGCAGCAATCCATGATCTTTGGAATTGGTCATAAATCACTAAGAAGAATCGTTAGTGCAATTTTAGACTTTTATCTTCATTAGTTAGGTGCTCATTTAATTTTTGGTATGTTAATTTTCCTAAGTCTTCAGTAAATAAATAATCAGAATCTTGAAAAACAAATTTAAAAAATGACGTGGGAAAAGAAGCTAAGTAACTGAATTAAAGACCTAGCATGCAGAGCTTTAAATGAGGGTTATTTCTGAAGTCTATTAAAAATGAAATAGATATGCTACCCAAGAAAGTCCATGGCCTTCAGCACAGTTGGCAGTTGGAAATACCTGGTTCATTTCCAGTTAAATGACATACTGATTTTAATTCTGACTAAGTGCTTCAATATATTGGTGAATTTTAATTGTATTTCAAAACCAAAATAGTCATTCAGGTAAGTTACTTACAATCGTACATTGTACTGTAACTTATATTTTAGGTAACTGTCATCAGCTGTGGTTGATATCTTAGTGTCTATATGACGGATGCTGTGTTTTAGTTAATTCCAATTTTTTATTCTTTTAAAGAATACAGAAAGAACATAAAATGATCTTTCACAATACTTGTAGTTCAGTTGGAGACTTAATATTCTTAAGTTCCCACATGTGTATTATATCACATTTGTCTCTTGTAATCTCTTTCCTCCTGTGGGGACACCTGTGTAATTCCAAACTGCTGTTTATGTTTTATTTTACTTTTATTGCACTTTCTGACTAGCTGCCAGATTGTAAGCTCCTTGGGGACAAGGTTGCATGTTGCACATTCTCAGATACTTACTCAGTTTTTGTACTGTTGTGATTAAACTTCTTTAGCTTTGTAAATGTTAACAAATAAATTATTACATTTTAAGCTTTTAAGGCCAATTATGTCTGATACTTTGAACTTTGACCTTTTTTGTCCCTGTAGCATTTGACAACTTTATTGGCTTCCTCTGATATGCAAGTGGTGCTGGCAGTCCTTAACCTCCTATATGTATTTAGCAAAAGATCAAACTATATCACACGTCTTGGATCTGACAAGAGGACCCCACTGTTAACCCGGCTGCAACATTTGGCGGAGGTGAGTCTTGGGTGAAGAGTGGAAGTGCACAAAAATTGGACCATATGGTTCCTTTTTGCATGCGTTTCTTGCATTGTCAAAATGGATTTGAATCTCTGAGTTAACTTTACTGGCCTAGTTGAATAGAAATAGTGGGGCCCACTTAGCCTAAGTGTTATCAGTTATTAAAAATTTTGAAGGATTTCATGAGTCTCTGGTCACAAAGCAGAATCTTTTTTCAAAAATGGCAACTTCTATTCTGGGAAAAAAGTTCAGAATTAGATTTTGTGTGAGAGGGAAGTGTTCAATAAAAAAATCTGGATTTGACTTCTGGCCTTGCTTATTAGCTCTGAAACCAGTCTTCTCATCTGAGAATTAAGTATATCCATTTCAGAGTTGGTTTTGAGTAAAATAAAATATAGGGTCCTTAGTCCTATGTTCAGTAACTAGTTTGTAATGGTAGTGATTGTTATCGAAGGCAAAAACTGTCATATAAAAAGTTCAACTCTACCAAACTATTGTCCAGTGTTCTAGAGATAATTTGATAATACATACCTTTGAAAGGTAGCCACTGCTGGAAAGCTTTTTTGGAAGAAAAGTGTTAAGGCTGGCTTTTAAAAAGCTAATTTAATGGTTACCTCTAGCCATTTTAGGATATTTGTAGGTGCCATGATTACTTAAAAATCATTTTTGTGTGATTATAATGAGTACTTTGAAAAGTCTAAGACATATAGGAAAGTATAGAGGAAATATCAGTCACCTATGGTTTATCATGATGAGGCCTTCTTTAAAATTTGAGCATTTTTTCTTGCGCTTGCAAATACTTGTATACATGCATGCAACCTCTTAAAATATCATATCATAAACATTTCCTCATGTCATTAAAAACCACAAGGGAGTTTAACAGTTAAAAGAAAAAAAAAGCTTTATCTCAGTAGATCCCCAAGTCAACAGTTAAAAAAAAATACTTTATCTCAATAGATGCTTCCAAAGCATTTGATCACATTTAGCACATTATTAAAATACTAATCAAAACTTTAAGAAAGCTAGACGTTGTCTATCAGAGGTGGAGTTTATCTAGCAGAAGTATTGAGGCATTTCCAAAATGTCAGGTATTATTTCTGCCATTTAAATTTGTACTAGAGGTCCTAACCAATAGAACAAGAGAAAAGAAAGAAATGGACCTATTAAAAGAAAAAATTTGTTATTATTTGTAGGTGATGAGATTGATTGAGGTCCTTGATTTCTTGAGGAGACAATATAAAATTATTAGAACTAATAAAAGTACAAGTACATAGTCAAGTTAAAAGATCAACATACAGAAACAAATAGCCCCTCTATGCATTAGTAGTAACTAGTTAGAAAATGATTGGTAAAAGACCCCATTCATAGTAGGAACAAATATAGTATTTATAAAATAAGCCATATTGGGTAAAATTGTAAATGTAAAAGATGTTAACGCAGAAGGTTATATTGTGATTTAGTGGTGGGGGAGGAATTTTTAAATTCCCCATAGCAAACATACATTTGTAATAAAAAATTTAACAAAAATTAATTTAAAAATTAAGTTTTCCTTTTCAATGAAAAACATAGCTCAGGACTGCTCCTTAGACCCTTACACTGGAATGTGTATCAACTCACTGCTTTCTTCATTGAGAAAAAGGTCAGTTGTATTAAATAGTATAATTACTGATGTCATCAGATAACATTCTGGTACAAGCTCATCATGTCATGGACCAATAACACTTTTAAACAATTGGTGGAGTAGCAACTGCTCTGAGGATGAAGTTAAGCAGCACTGCCAAAGACAAAAACTAACAGAACTATGATAGATTGAGAGGTGTTTAACAATGTTCTAAAATTTTATACTTGGTACAGGAATAGACAATGCATCTGCAGAATGAAATAGTAAATCATATGTTGCTTATGATAAAAGCAGTGGGACAGTAGGCTATTTGAGGGAAAAACGTGTCTAGAACCTTTTTCACACTATTCTCATAAATCCTAGAAACATATTTAGAAGCTAATACAGATGACCTTTAACATCTTTGATAAAGAGAGTTTCCTAATAAAGTCAAGAAACCTAGAAGGTGTTAAAAACACTGACAAATTTATATGAAAATGTAAAACTTTTGTATGAAATGATAGTTACACAACAGAGGAATAATATTCAGATTCTGCAAATCAATGAAATTGAAGTAACTCAGGAAAATGTGCAAAAGCATATGAACAGATTCATCAAGGAATGTGTGGTATTTCTTTAAAATTGGCCAGTAAAACATGAAAGTTACACTAGTAATAATCAGGGAAAATGCACATTAAATTGAGATCATGTTTAACCATTAGACTGGTAATAATACAGTATATACAAACAATGGTTGATGTATGAATGCCCTTTGGTAAGGTTTTTTTTGGCAGAAACTTTCATTTTAGAATGTGTACGTTTTATTTCACTCAGCAGTTCCATTTTAAGGAAATTGTGTTAATGTTTTCAGATGTACACAGAATGTATACATAAGGATTCTTACTGTACCATTGTTTGAAACATTTAGAAACATCCTATTTAATATGATATATGCCCTTGTGTGACAAAATAACTAACTGAAAACATCTCTAAGCAAAAAAGAAAAAAAACTAAAGATCCCCATTTATAGTTTTTTAAAAGTTCAAAAGTAAAACTATATAATCCTAATTACAAACTTAGAAAAAGGGAATTGTATTTAGGGAGAAGATGAAGGATGAGTTTCACTTGTAAAATTCTCTACTTTGAATTTTTTATAGGTATGGTGTATTATGTATTTCTTTTGTAATGAAATAATGAGAATTGATAATGGCTCTGTGCAGATACATTTTTGGTGACTATAATACTCCTTGTTTATATATACTGTTATTTTAATTAACTTACCTGATTTCATACCTATTATATGTAATCCTCTTAACACTGAGATGAGGAATTTTTACCCCCATTTTACACATGATGAACCTGAGGTTTAGCAAGGTGAACTGATTTCTTTATAATTTCCACAAGTAGAGCCGGGCTCAGTGGCTCAGCCTATAATCCCGTGCCTTGGGAGGCTGAGGTGAGTGAATTGCCTGAGCCCGCGAGTTCGAAACCCGCCTGGGCAACTTGACGAGATCTCATCTCTACAATAAAAATCAAAAATCAGACGGGCGTGGTAGCGCGCGCCTGTAGTTCCAGCTACTTGGAAGGCTGAGGCGAGGCTGAGGCGGAGGGATCACCGGAGCCCAGCAGGTCAAGGCTGTGGTGGCCGGGAGCAGCCACTGCACTCCAATCTGGGCGGCAGAGTGAGACTCCAACTCAAAAAAAAAAAAAAAAAATTTCCACAAGTAGCAATCAGTGGATCTGCAAATTTAAGCCTGATTGATTTGCTTATTCAAGCCATATTCTTTCCAAGGGCTTTGTACTATATGTGATCGTTTTAAGATTTCAGAACAAGCTTTACATTAGGAATAGAGGAAGAACATTCTACAGTTAACTTGGTACTTTGTATAGAACTACTGGAGCAGGATTTCACATCTTGTCACCCTGCTTTTAAACCAGTATTGCCCACTCAAGTTTCATGCTGTCATTAAATTAAATGTTCTCACAATTTAGAAAGTAAAAGATAAGATGCAGACTGTACTTTGAATGGCACACACATGCAAACTATGGGGGATTATTTTATTTTATTTTTGAGTAGTTCAGGTCAAGTTCTTTTCTTCCTTCTTTGGATCATTTTACCACCAGAAAGATTGGTTAAATGATTGTTTTTTGTTCCTTTGCATTTGGGACTTTTTCTTTGCTTTTTCTTTTAAACCTTTGACAGGTGTGCTTCTTTTTGTTCTGTTGGGCTAACAGAGAGACTAGATTGAAGGTTGATTTCTAGTTCTGTACAATTAGGAATGTTAACGGTGTGGTACATTGTTGCCTTTGGTGATATATTTATGTGCCTGATCTTTGCTATTTACAGAAAAAGATTCTTACAGGTTTTTGAGGTTTGGAGATAACATGCAAGGTGTTCAGTAATAGCTGCCATTACTAATATCCCTCGTTAAAATTTTAAAACTTTATTTTTCCCTAAAAAACATAACTTAATGTGGGTTTCTTTTCCTTACATCTTCCTTTGGATATGTAACGCTAGTTATTATGGCAATGATCATAGAAATCTTGATTCCTGTCTCTTCGATTTTTTTTTTTTTTTCAGGCAGCTTCCTGTGCAACAAATGCATACATTCACTTATGTTTGGTTAAGAACCTGGATTTAGAAATCAAACCTACCTCTGCCAACAAATCAAATTAACGTCAGTTTCTATATCTGTAAATTGGGAATTACAATATCTATCTCATAGTTCTTAGGATTAAATTCAATGAAGTCATCAATAAAACTCTTAGAGTTAATGCCAGTCATGTCGGAAGCACTTAATAAATGGGAAATGTCTGTTTTTAAAATTTCAGTAACTTTAAAGTGGTTTTTGATCATGTGGATGAGTTGTATAGAGGTGAAGTAGTCTGGGCTTTAAGTGTACCTGTCACTCCCACTAGTATGCATTGTGCCCAAGGGAACTGTCTTTGATATATGGTTATCAGCACATAAACTACATACTATTTTTTATTTGCTTCTAAAACTATATGCACATTATTTTATAAATGTGTGCATATTGTCTCATGATTTTTAAAGTATGGTCTTAAATGAAGGAAACTCTTGATTCATCTCCATAACCTAAAATGTACTCTTCTGTATATGTTTTTATCTTCACGTAATATTGACCTGTTGAGGGTATTTTGTCATAGAATTACAAACATAGATCCTTTTGCATCCCAGTTTTCTTACTTAAGGTCTTGTTTTTTAAAAAGAAAACAATCACTTTTGACCAGGCATGGTGGCTCAAACCTGTAATCCCAGCACTTTGGGAGGCTGAGGCAAGAGGATTGCCTGAGCTCAGGGGTTTAAGACCAGCCCGAGCAACATGGCAAGACCTCGTCTCTACAATAAAAAAAAATTTAAAAATAAGCCAGGTGT